AACTTAAAAACTTCGAAATACTGACAAAATTTTAAAGCAATCTTAAATTAACTGACAACGAATCTAAACATTCTATACGAAGTAAATACCTATTTTTAGCATCTCATTTATTTCTATCCAAAAAGTTCACCATGAGGGATTCTTTGGGATGATGGAAACTAGACATCTTGAACTATATACTCAAAGCTTATTTGGTTTTGATAATTATTAAAAAAAAATTTTTTTGAACGTGTGACTTTTGAGGGGTAAAAGGCATGTGAGAGCCAATCAAATTTAAAAATCTACTTGTAGATCGTTCTAGAATATGATTTCCTAATTTGGTAAATTTCCTGACTATACTAACTGATGACTATCTTAAATAGCATGCTAAATTGACTTCACCGGCTATTTTAACAAATAAAAAAAATCATTCTAGACTATATAAAAGATATAAAGAAGAGACTGGAGAAGATCTTTGGCAATACATTGATTTTCCTGGATCCTCCCAAATCGAAGATAGCAAAAATGAAACAGAGGTACGCATATTACCTATAAACAAAAATGCATCTCTCAATTCTCGTTTTCCAATTTCTATCTTACCCGATGATCCAGAAGAAAAACGAAATCTTGTTATTTATACCACATTGAAGCAATTCAATAATTTATCTCTTAAGCATAGCAATAAATATGGCGATTATTATGATTATTCAGGAATATGTCCTGCATGTAATGAAGAGTATAAAGAAGATGATGTGGAAGGTCGGTGGGGTGATGGTAATTATTATAGAGAAAAAACTTATCGTCTCTATTGTTGTAAAAGAACTTTTAGTAAAATCCCCATAGTAAATATGAAAAAAGAGAATCTAAAAGAAAAACAAAAAGACTTTATCAGCAAGGTATTGGAACAGAATCCTGGTATATCTTTGAGTCACAGTACTAATTCTGATAATATATATCGATGCAATACTTCATTATGTCCATCATGTAAGCAAAACCATAAAGACAATATCGTAGGCCGGTTTGTGAGAGGGTTCTATAATATTGGATGCAGATTTAATTATACAGAAAGAATCAATATAATAGCATAAACAATAGGTAATTTATAATAAGTAAAGGTAATAGATATCAAAATCGCGTAAAAATAAAGATTAGGAGCCCAGCGGGGGCCCTTCTTTATTTAATATTTTTTTGCCGGAATGACAATATACAAATAAAGAAATTATATTTATTTTTTGTTTAACAGTTTTTGGAGGATTTTTTTTTCTGAAATCGGAATCAATGTTTTCAGATAGTGGCTTTCTACATTTGGAGCATAAATTAGGGTTTTTATTATTATTACATTGTTCGCAAAAAGATACAAAACAGCATTCTACCATAACGAAAAAACTATAGTTAGGTTAGTTTCATGATATAAGCCACACAAGGAGCATCTTGAGGTCCTACAACACTTTTTAATTTGATATTTTATTCCTTTAGTTAAATCTATCCAACTTTTTAAAGTGATGGAATCTTGTATATGCCTGTGTTCACTTATATTATGTAAGGGAGTAGTTGAAAAACTATCCGTAGAAAAAATAGTTAATTTTTCTAGATCATGCTCTTCAAGTTCATGCGCAGAGGCTCTTTCCCTTCGAAAGTATTTCTCATATGATCGTGGAGGCGCTTATTCTGAATTTTCTTAATACAAATACAACAACATGAAATGCACCCATTGACTAAAAATAACCTTCCAGTCCAAAATATAATGGGCAAAGATTTGGGCCGAACCGGCTATGAATGGGGAGTCTCGTACAAAGATTTTCGATATATTTTGAATCAAATATGTGTATATCTTGAAAATAAATTGCAACTATAGTAAACCAGTTTTTTTTCAAAATATATATGAGCAAAAAATAATGTTATTGCTAACTTATCTTGTGGGTGGAAGCTTGCTTATTTTATACTTTATATTCGTTCGGTTTGAGAACTTACCAGAAAGAAAAATACACGATTAGTTATTACATTACTCTAACACAATGCCAGATCACACTTAACAAAGAATTCTGTTTCGGTTATAAGTTCCAAATGCTGAATCTATTTTGCTATTTTTTTAGTAAAATTAAACCTTCTTAGATTTGACGATCGCTCCTGCAAAGTGAAAAACCCAACGATCTTGACGATCTGAGAAATTTCAAGTTTCTGCAACATATGAATTTTGATAAAACACTGATAAAGAATGTTATACACATTCCTCTTATAACCCCTATTCATGCTTTTTCTTATCGGGAGTTATATATAATAAGAAAAGACTTTGTAACATTTGTTACATATAAATCAAAAATTGACCATAAGAAATTAAGGTAACACTGCATAAAATTTAGACCCGAAGGGTCATTGCAAAGTAATAATGCAGGCCATTGATTATTAAAGCCGGTCAAGTTTTTATCGCACATTCGAATTGATAAACCTGACATTAAGTGATCGCAGAAAAGCGGACCCGTGGGACTGTTAAATCATATGATAATATGACATATAATAAATACTAGTGATGTGGTTATGTTAAAATAGTGCACATATGTGTTTACAAGTATGTATTAAATTCTAGATAACTGCTGTTAAGCCACTGTCTCTTTGAAAAAGAATGCTTTGCATCTGAAGTACTGTTGGCTTTTTCTTAATAAACATATATAAAATCGCTAAGCCACTGTACATGCAGAAGTTCCATGACCTTCGATTTTCTTCTTTGGTATGACATGTGATATGTTGATCGAACATCCATGTTATGCAATTGATTTTATTACTAGAAATATCAAACATTTTCTGAGACTTTATTTTTTGTTTTTTTTTGATAAAATTTTAGTGCCAAAATCATGTGATGCTACTACACAAAAAAATAGCAATATATCTACATGTATACAGCAGACCCATAGGGCGACTCGAAGAGTCATAATTGTACTATTTTTATTAAATAAAGAAAAGTGATCGAGAATCTTTATCTTTCCTCTTCATTTATCAATTTCGTATAGAAGAGTGGTTGACTACCTATATCGTGCATAATGGTATCACTTTCATTTCATGATAAGGATAAATTTAGCAAATCAGGTATTAGATTACTGCCAGAGACCACTACTTCGTAGTTAGAACTGTCTTGGCTCTGATTATTATTTTGTGCTTCATCTGTGGCCCGTGAGTAAGGTGGTGGTTGGGGAGATAATATTTCAATTGGAGGCGGGAAATGCTAATATTTTGCTCAGAATTTCTCATACCAGGGTTGTTTATATTAGCGTTATCATGGGTGAAGTGGGATATGGTGAATGTCTTTGACTCCTTCTACTAATAATAGATGGAGACCAGTTTATTCATCTAATGGAAGATCCCATACTCAATATATGCTCAATTTCCTCAATAGATGGTGCTGGTGTTGTATTTTCTACATCTCTATTACACCTACGGTTTGAGGTATTAAGACTACGGATTCTATCAAATTCATCTTCAGGCCTTTCTCAGAAATATGTACGAAACTCATCAAAGTATTGTGCACCCATTCGATTTCTACGTGCTCCACACTACCTGACATATATTCACACATCGCCTAATCAAATAATTTAATTATGTTAATAGGAGCCAGATAAAAAAATAAAGCTTTATAGTGCGAACTTACATTATAACTCTGAACAAGATTTGAAAATTTTTCTTTACAATGATAATCAGTAAAATTAGTATTATGCGCTTCGTTTATTCTATTTGCAATACTATTCCAAAATATGTTTCGATTTCTTCTGTGGCTATGGTACTCTATATTTCTATTTCTTCATTCTTCAATTAAAGTATGTGTTTGTGTATCTGTCTATTCTACCATTTTCAACCCGAGTTCAAGCCGAGTTCAACCCTAATTATGAGAATGAATAACCAAACTTCAACCAGAGTTCATACCATTTTCTATTTTGTGTCGCTCAAAAAAATCATTATAACCAAACTTGAATTGGTATTATGTCTGAAATTTTGTATAATTAACCAACTTCGTATGCCTCAGATTTGTATATCTCAGATTTGTTTATCTCGACCGGGATGATCTCAAATGGTAAGTATCGTACATTCCTATTGCCGAAAAATTAAATCATATGCTTGTAATACCCGAAATAGATCTCTCAAACTTGTTTTATCTAATAAAGTTATTGCAAACCAGTCCCACAAATATGATTAATTTTTTGCATGTTTATTGTAAACCTAGCATAATTTTATACTACTTATCTAAATTTGTAGATCTTGGGCCAGCTTAATATAGCATGTAAAATTATCATCGTACCCTGTATAAGTATGCTTAACAAGTTATTAACGATCTAATCCCAATATAGAAAACATTCAATTGTTGATTGATTTGCCATGTCCAATAAATATGGTACCGAATTTAGTAAACAATTTTATTATTTGTATATAGTAATTATCATGCTATATTAAGACACCAAATAAAAAAAATTAGTTGACTTGTATTTAATTATTGCATACTACTTCGTGCTGAATTATTAAATTATATACTGAACTAATAAAAATAAGCCTTAATTTATAATAAAGGGGTCCAGTACAAAGTTCTGTTCTAAAAAAAGCAGTTAATAGAATGTGGTTGCATTAAAAAAGCACACAGATGTATTTACAAGTATTTTTGAAAACAAACCTGCACCCTCGAATATTCACATTATGACGCTTATTCTAAATTTGTAGATGAAGTGCCAAATATATCAAAATTTTAGTCTCAAAAATCATAATACGTGTTGATTGAATATCTAACACGTGCTTTATTCATCATGTAAAATTAGAAAAAAAATTTCTGATAAATGACTGCAGTATATAAATATTTATAGATTATTAAATAATCTGCCCTTTAAAAACAAATGAGGCTAACAATTATATGTTAACCATGTAGCCTAATTATTATTTCTGATGGCTCAGTACTTTGACTTGGGTGGTTCGTTCAGTCCGCAAAAATAAACAATTAGGTGATTCAATTGGACTGCATAAAATATAATTTTAATCTTATTTCTTAATTTTTTATATGAGATACAATTTGAATATAAGAATAGTACAAGTGAAATTTTTCACACCCTTTGGGTCTACAATTATCGCTACAACCCAATATGCATCTCTCTCATTCTCATTTATATATCACTCACAAAATATGACAAATATACACAACTCATCTAATAACCCAATTCGTATTAAAAATGAATCTGGTTTTAATCATATATATTGTACCAAATCTAATAGGTCAAAAATACTAAAACTGCCAAATATATAAGTGATAATATGTCTGGTTTTGATATCACTACTATTATTGATAAAAAAGATAAAACACTTCCTAAACCATATATTATTCGTCCTGGTTTTGATATGAAGTATGCTGTATCATATATATCATATTATAGTGGAACTTATGCTAATAAACTCAATCAAATTTTCGATAATGAGAGATTATTTGACACTTTATCTATCATAAAACAGAACGAAACACCTGTTCAATGGGCAATATGAGTAAGAATTTCATTACAAGATTTGTTAAATTCAGGAAAATTTAGTATATATCATCAATATTGTTTATTTATATCATATGGTAAAGGTAAATTTGTTAATTTCAATTATTACAGACCAAGGATTCATAAAAACCATATGGCTATTTGTTTTGGTTGCTGGAAACTTATAAAAATTAATGACGTACAACCTAAAAAATTATTCCATTTTACTAGACGAAGATATGTTGATCGTCTCGTACCTAGTGATTTGATGACCAGATATTGGGATAATGATTGTGATAAACCAAAGACCGATTTCAGAAAAGCAAGAATTATACAAACTGCTTATTAAAATTATAAGAAAAAGCCTGAATCAGAATCTAATAGAATCTGGGAAGCAGTCAGAAATGACAATACTTCTGAGAACAAGAAGTTTTTAGGTATAACTCCTCGAAAAATAAGACTTCCTAAAACTTCTTATGTTGGATATGGTGGGAGAACGATTCTAGCTAAAGATGTACCAGTATATGCTTGAAATTTATCTGAAATGTTTTATCATTATAGTCCTAAAAGTTGGGCAGATGCTAAGAAATATCAATTACAAAAAAGATTATATAACCATGTTTTAAATTTATTAGAACAACAAGAATACAGAGTAATCAATAGTAAGCAATGGTATGTAATATTAAAGTGGATACAAAATCCTGAATTATATATTAATAATAAATACTCGCTATTTATTAGAAATGAATAAATTATTATAGACAGTTCATAGAGAAATACATCAAATTATCAATCTATAGCTTTGCAATACACATATCTATATATTCATATATATCTATTGAAAATAAATTTTATTTCGTTATCTTTCCTAAAGAAAAGCTAGTAACATTTTTTACTTTGATTTTTATATACAGTCATTTTACATAGCACAAAAATTTCTCTCAGTACAAATAGAATTTATTTATTTTTCAACATCTACTTCAACCTCAATCAGGCTAGATACTGATAGCTATTTTATTGGAAAATAATAGCGAATAAGATGTTAAAATCATCCACCCCAATTCCAATTATGGCTGGATACGGACAGCTTCTTAATAAAAGTGGCGAGTAGAATGTACTTATATTGTTGTATTAATAAATAACCAAAAAAATAATTATTCGATTGTTATAACTTATTTTATCCGATTTTAAAATATTATATCTTCTGAAATATCATCCTGGTTAGGCAGAATGTTTATTATCTTTTAATCCCTCGATCTCCTTTTCTAGATCAAGAGTGTGTTTCATCGAAGTGAGAAAGACTTAGATCTGGGTTTATTTAGATCTATAACTATAAACTCTTTTCCTCAAATAACTATCAATAATTTTTGAAGCTTTTCATGAATCTACATCAGTGTAAGGACTTATAATATCTGCAAGTTTTCGAATAGAGCCCCACCATTAAAGAGAACAATGTGAGTAGCATTTTCGCAAATATCTATTGAGATTTTGTAGAATTTCTGAGCACATAAATTGAAGAAATATTCTCATGACGACCTCGAGTGAAAAATGGAATAATTTTTTTCTGTATAGCTGGAGGGTCAGAGTAAAGATCTTCAAATATTGCTAATATACTTCTTTTAGCATTAAACTTTTTGGGATCTTGGATTTTATCAGGAGATAGTATAGAAAATGTGACATCTTCATAATAGGGCTTTGATTTGTCTTGGAAAGATATTTATAAAAATCTCGAACTATTTTATATTTTGGCTCATTTAAATGATATCTGAAAAGAAATACATTATCGCATTTAACATTTCGTTCCCTATCTTAGAATGCTTTTTTTTCTTAAACGTGTAATAAAATTTGGACATTGTTAGCAAGTTTAAATTCATATTAATCTTACCTGAATTGCTAGCCCTGCCATCACGATACGAAAAGGCCATGCTGGTGCTCTTTATCTCTCTGGTATCTTTTCAAAGATTTTACCTTATCTATAGCAAATACACAATATAACATCTTTTTGTTATAAATATATATTATGTTTTTTTATTCTGACGAATAATCTGATTTTGACACGCTATTTATATCTATATTTTGTAAATAACCTTTCTCTTGCAATTTGCATTTTATGTATGGGAATAAATCAGCACTATACGGTATTTCAATAAGATCTATATCTCACTCTTTGCATATTTCCTGCTTTTTTTTGGTTAAAAAGGTACTGTTGAATTATCATTTAAATATCCTTAATTATTATCAGAAATGTCAAAAAAAAGATTAACCTTAGAAGATGCTTGCACAATTGCTAGAAATCGGGGTAGACAGTGTCTTTCTACTCAATATACTACTAATAAAGATCTATTATTATGGTATTGCCCAAATAATCATGAATGGTACACATCTCTTGGTCATGTAAAATATAGCAAGTCATGGTGTTCACATTGTGTAAAAGTAGCTCGCTGTACTATTGAAGATATTAAACAAATTGCTTTTGCCCGAAATAGAGAATGTCTTTTAACCGAATATATAAATAGCAAAACTATTTTGTTATGGTGTTGTTCAAATTATCATGAATAGTATGCACGCTTTAATAATATAAAAAATCAAAATCAGTGGTGCCTGCCTATATTGTGCAAACAGAGTTTCCCATACTATTGAAGATGCTAGACAAATTGCAATTAGTCGAAATAGAAAATGTCTTTCAACAGAATATATTAATAGTTATTTATATTTATTATGGTGTTGCTCTAAAGGACATGAATTTCTTGCAAGTTTGCATTATGTCAAAATTAGTAACTCTTGGTGCTCAAAATATGCAAAAGTAGCTCATTATAGTATCAAGATTGCTAGACAAATTGCAATTAGTCAAAATAGAGATTGCATATCTACAATTTATTATAATAATCACTCAGCTTTACTATGGCGATGTGAAAATAACCATATATTTACTGCTATTCTCAATGCTATTAAAAATCAACACACCTGGTATCCTTTCTGTTCAAAGAAATGTGAGGATTTATGTCACAAATCATAACAAAATATCTTGGTCCATCTTCGCCAATTCATAAAATAATTTCTTAAAAACTCCAGAATACCCAACTGGACTAGAACTCAATATCCCATACTATGATTACAGCTTTGTGATTGAAGTGCAAGATATACAGCATGAACGTCAAATCAAATTCTTTTATCCAAATTTTGAAGATTTCAAGAAACAGCAAACTCAGGATCAACTCAAGAAAGAACTCTGTGAAAAAAATTAGATAGCACTAAGATATGTTTGGTATTATAAAAACCCATTTGAAAAAATTCTAGCTATCCTTCGAGAACTGGGTCTTATTCCTTAGCCGTAATTATTCAATATCTATATTTTCCAAATACCCT